AAAATAAAATTAAATACATGTAAAAAATAAATCCCTTCTTTAACATAATTTTTATTTCCCGGTCATAGGTTACTATTTCTGAATATATAATGATATAATAATATAATATGTTATCAGAATAAAAATATTTCTTTAAAACTAATAATAAACTTAAATACATGTAAAAAATACAATTAAAAAATTAATATAAAAAACCCCCTTAACAAAATATATAAAAAAATATCTAAAAAATAAACATAATATCATGTAAAATAACCACGAATATATTAAAAAAATATCTAAAAATAAACATTCAAAAAATTAAATACACGTTAAAAAAATTAATATAATAACCACTTTAAAAAATATACAAAAAAAATACTAAAAAAAAAATAAACATCCAAAAAATTAAATAATACCATGTAAAAACTAAAATATTTATATAAAATAAAATTTAATACACGTTAAAAAAATTAATATAATAACCACTTTAAAAAAAAATACATTAAAAGAAATATCTAAAAATAAACATTCAAAAAATTAAAATAAATACCATGTAAATACTAAAATATTAATATAAAATAAAATTAAATACACATAAAAAAATTAACTCCCTTCTCCCTTAATAAAATTTTCGTCCTGACCGGTCCAATCATATCGAAAAGCCCGACCGGAAATAAAAATAAAGATTATATGTCCGCCCAGACCGGAGCGGCCCGGTTTTTAAAAAAAATATCAGAGCCCCAACCCAGCCCGAACCGAAATCATTATTTTTGAAAAAAAATATATTCCAGCTCCTGATTTGCGGATCTTCTAATGTGGATATTATTGTTTCCCAGGGGAGAAAAAAAATCGTGTCGTTTTAAATCCTCTATATTATACATTATAATTAATATCGCTCCGCCGTTATCGCTATCATCATGCCGACAAAAATTGAGGCGGAAAATAAATTGCGAATCGAATAACATTACATCATATGTTTTATAACATATGTTCTTTCGAAATATTGTGAAAAAAGAGTTAGCTGGAAAAGAGCGGGAAAAATTTTTATCGAAAAAAATTAAATAATGAACACATGTTAAATTGGCGGTCTATTCTCTCTCTATTAAAATATTGCATTTAATAGGTTTCGCAAACTATTATGACTTTTGATTGGTCAATTTTATTTTTTACATCAGTCTCTGCATATATTTTAAAAGTATCGCATAGAAGTTTATATTAATTTTTTTTTTATAAATTTAAAATGATGGTTTAAAATAAAATCTCCCTCCATTGCGAATGGCAAAAATGAACAAATAATCTCCCGCCAAAAGTTGATTCCCTCTTTAGTGAAAAGATTTAAATCTTACCTACTCTTCCAATCAGGGTTTAATTCTCAATTCTAAATCGAACGAAGTCTAAAAAAAAACATCTCATTAATTTTTAGAATTTCTAATCAAAATTCTATCCAATCAAATATTTATTCCCTGACAAATTATGAAAATGATGTTTAAGTTAAAAAAAAAATTAATTATATAGAGCTTTCTTTCTTTCTTTCTTTCTTTCTTTCCCACATGTTCCTGATCTATTGGAATAACAAAATGAACAAATCAAATTTCATTCTTGAAAGTCAGAGAATAAGCTTGAGCTTATATAATTTTGATGTATTTTTTTTTGTTCACTAATTCCCTTACGACCTCATACGAAAATTCAATATCACCATCATTTTTGGCCCTGAAGCTACAAAATTTTTAGGGCCCTTAACACTTCATCAAAAACTGGAGATCACCAATCAACAAGCCCCCATAACAGTATAACGCAAATCTAACTTGATCTCTATTAATAATTCCTCGGCTTTACCTAAGAGATTTTAGATCTCCGCTACTTTGTCCTAATGCGATACATGGATAATTGGTCAATAAAATTGTTCCAAGAACCCTAAAAATTACAACAAAAGTTATGCAAAAGAGTAAATCGACACTTACATCTGATTAATATGTCAGGGTTTAAATGGAGGGCACTTTTTGATTACAATGTTTTTTTTTCACTCTCTAATCGGTCCATTTATTATAGCAAATGTTTAGAAAATTTTAAACGTTTTGGGACGTTTTATTTTAAATAATGTGTATTTTAAATGGCCACGCGTAAATTAAAAACGCAAAAAGTATCTGTGCAAGCCGTTTCTAAACGCTTCTAACTCAACTTGGAGCACTTATAAGTCCTCACTGATAAAATATGATAAACGCTAGACTTTTATTCGTGGAAGGCGTTATTTCGATCGTCTATTTACTACGAAAATTCTTATTACCTGGAAAATATTACCGCGAATATAAAACTGGAAATGTATTATCCCCCAAAATAAACGGATTACGGCAAACGCTTTTTTTACCCGAATTTACCCTCATCCTTATAAAATCTTTAAAAAAAATAGCGCTTTAATATTATCAAAATTCTTTCTAAAGAAGCTAAATAAAACAAATGAAAGAATGAAAGAAAGAAAGAAAGAAAGAAAGAAAGAAAGAAAGAAAGAAAGAAAGAAAGAAAGAAAGAAAGAAAGAAAGAAAGAAAAGAAAGAAAAACGGTGAGAATATATTTTTTTCTATTTACATTTTTTCTCGCAATTTTCTCTTTATTTAATGAGTAATCAAATAATCAAATCGAACAACAAGTTTTTAATTTATATTTAAAACGTATTTAAATTAGGAGGGGAAAAAAAAATTCCAAGGATAAAAGATTTATTAAAAATAGAAATTATTTGTTTAGATATAATTAACTTTATAACGGGAAGCTTGTTCTGATTCGACTACTAAAGAAGAAAATAAAATCCACCAAATTAACCTGGATAACGATGATATGAATCAGCCATCCGCAAAGCCCGGCCCGCTAGCCATAACGGACCGGGGAAAATTTAGCGGGTATATACCTCACAAATCTCTCAGTTTTCCCTAATATCTTAATAGGCCAGCCCTGTGCATTATAATTTAGATATATATATATATATATTTTTCTGAATTTCAAGCTAAATATTTTATAATTCCCATTATTATGTTATTTTTAAAAGCCTATTTAACAAAAATATCTTAAATCAAATAAATAATATAATAAATTCGCGACAAAAAAAATTAACCTATTTTTTTGAATATGATCTAATGACAAGATGATAGACATCAAATACAAGTTGACTTTATAAAATGGATTATTGTAGAAATAAGGTAGCCATATGACGCGCACAAATTTAGCGTTTCAACGGCGTTTCAAAAGGCGAACAATACAATTTTAGATGTGTTCGTTAAAATTGGACGGCATTTTTTTTGTTTTAAATTTAGACGTTTCGTATTGAAAAAAAAATTAAAAATAAATGGTTAAATTTAAACACAGCTGTGTTTACGTTTCCGCGTTTTGGAACGATGCGTCGGAATGTTCAATCTGCGCGCATGCGCACTAATAGGGGAGAAATAGAAGAGTTTGAAATTAACTTTGAAGAAAAATAAGATGTAGATATTAAAAAAATGTAATGGCCCAAAAATTTGTAAAAAAAAGAAGAAATTATCGGCCGTGGGGGGCTTTTCGTGAAATTTAGCCGTGTCCGGTCTAAATTTTTGTAAAATATTAACCGGTCGGTCTAGTCAACTCGTGCAAAATTCTTAACGGGTCTAGTTTAGCGGATCTTAAATATGAATGTTACGATTTTTTTTCCCAACTCATTATTTGGCTCCACCCGCAAAAATTGTTAGGAAAAAAAAAATTGAGAGGATTCATGATGGCATTAATAAACACTTTTACTCGAAGATGATTGGTGAGAAATACGGTTAGGTAATGGGTAAAAGGTCGGCTAATTCGGCCCTATCTACAGGCGCGTGGCGGAGAAATCTATTAATAAGGCGTTTTATCTTATCTATATTAGTTTATTTTGATGTTTGAGCTGCTAAATTTTCAATAAAAAAAAACCATAACCCCGTGGGATAACTTTCGTGCTTAAAATTTGGTTTAGCTGGTCAAATGACTGGAACAGCTAAAAAAATATAGTAATTAAATTACCCAATTATAATGAGCAATTCCTATTGATAAAATCAAAATGCGAGTGAAGCAAACACTATTGTGAATATTTTTTTGTTCGAAGAGGTCTAAACCGAACCGGTTTTAACCGCTAATATTATAAAATCCGAGCCGTTAAAAATTATTTCACTTAACGGACCGAATTTCCCGAAACGCCATTTGGAACCGTTTGATATCTTAGTAATCTTTTTATGGCTATTTCGAAGGTACCAGTTGCCCAAAATTAGCGTATAGAAGTGTTTCCAGCCACGGAATTTATTCCTTTTCTCCCTTCGCTCTCCTTTTCTCCACTTTTTTATGGTCCTGGGTGGTAGCTATCACGTGACCCAAACCGTATTGAAAGTAGAAAAAAATAAAAATAAAATAATTTTAAATGCTACAAAATAAAAAAATTATTCCAATATTTATTTGATAATTACGAATAATTGGTGATTTGATTATAAATTACGAAAAATCATAGATATAGTGCAAGTATATTCAATAATTTTTTTTTAAAAAATGGCGCATGATTGACAGTGCTGTTAACATGGGTCAAATTTAATATTTTTAAATCAATTTCATAGTTAATTAACCACTCCCTTTAATTAAAAAAAAATCTCTAAAAATGGCAGGTGTCATTTAAAGCGTTTCAAATCTGGATCAACGATTTGAATAATTGTAGTTCATACCTACATAAAATATGATTATAGTATATGTTAGGTTAATGACTAATTTTTGAATATATATAATATAACATTTGTTTATAATATTGGTAAAATTACTCATATAAAATAGCTGATCTCATGTTTGATTAACTAAGACAAACATTTCTAGATTATTCCCGATGACTAATAAATCAAAAAAAAAATATTCTTCTTTATATTGGACTATGAAATATATAATAATTTCCCCAAATCATCTTAACTATTTTAAAAAATTTTTTAGAAAATAAAATAATTAATTTTTTTACAATATGTTTAAATTATTCTTATTTCTAACACTTCTAGCATTGATCTCTGCCCAAACCAGCTTTCTGGATCGATTACTTCGAGGTATTATTAACGAAATGCTAAGATTAAATATATATTATATTATAATCTTATGATTTATTCAATGACTGACGATGACGATGCGTGCATAATAGTGCACTTGAAAGCGTCGTTGAATGCAAATCAGCTGGACCCGCCATTTTGGTAACCCATATAGTAATTATTCTCATGTTATTGCTTCCTTATTATCTCGATGATCAGGTTATTCTTTAATAAGTTGCTTCAATATATTGGAATAAATTGGCCTCGTTAAAAATTTCCAAAATGGCGTCCCCAGCTGTTTTTCATTGATGTACACTTTTAACGAATGCTATCGTCAGTTCTAGGTATTATTATATGTTATTAGGAAAATGTAACTCTAAAACTAGTTAAATTCAACTGGGAACTAGTTAACTTTTTTGAGTTACTTATATTCGATCGCTTGTTTGTTTTTTTTAAAATTGAAATATAACAAACAAGTAACTAAACCCAGTTACTTTTTAAATGACGTAACCTGTAACTGTAAATAAAAAGTAACTTTACCCAAAAATCGTTTTTTTAGGGCATAATTTATAGCAAATTATTAAGATCACTCATTGTCAAATTTTTAGGGCCCGGCCTCGAAATTTATCTATTCTCAAATCGCACCCAAAAATCTTAGTGTTGAACAGCTCGTTTTGAGCAGATTTTTAAAAACGAGGTTTTATTATAATGTTCCCCTCTTTTTGATGTTCCTAAGTTTTATGATAGCACTTAATATTATGTATTAGCTTCGATGTGATAATATATTTTTTTTAAACTTTACATCATTTTTTGGGCGCGTTATTTTTTGAAATTTTTAAAATTTTTAAAATACGATTATGTTTGGAAATGTATTCCAGGATAGGTTAAAAATAACTTGCTCACTGGTTCTTGGAAATATTTGCCCAAGGACTTTTGAGTTTAATATAATTTATATTGGTATTTTCCCTAGTCTCGAAGGTTATCAGCTAAATTGTCTCTAAATCCATAGGGTGGTTGATATTTCTAAACATGCTTAGCCCCACATTTCTGGTATTAAGAGAAATAACGAAAAAGAGTAAAGAAGAAAGAATGAAAGTAAGAAAGAAGAGAAAAAAGAAGATTTAAATTTGAAAAAATAACACATTGACGCCAACATATATAATAGTATTAGTATTGACTAAATAATATGTTGTTTTTTTCAAATCAATAAAAGCGTTATATAATATTTAATTTATCTATCAGAAATCTTAGATAAATCTCTTCTGAGCTATACCGGCTATCAGTCTCATCGTGGTGGACATTTTCGGTTCCCCAGTCAAGACGATTCCCTTTGTGAATGTCGAATAAGCGTAATCAAAGATGGAACCATCGTAGACCCTTCTGATAGATGGGTCAACCTCAGTATAGGTATAAAGCAAATTAAAAAATAGCAGTTTGGTTGTGTAGTTAGTTCTTTCTTTCTTTCTTTCTCTCCTTCTCTCTTCTTTCTTTCTTTCCTCTTCTTCTTCTTTCTTTCTTTCTTTCTTTCTTTCTTTCTTTCTTTCTTTCTTTCTTTCTTTCTTTCTTTCTTTCTTTCTTTCTTTCTTTCTTTCTTTCTTTCTTTCTTTCTTTCTTTCTTTCTTTCTTTCTTATCTTTACTATTCTGCTTCTTTCTTTTTTGCAAACTGCATAATGTATAAATTGTATATATAAAAAATGCAAGATTCCAGTGGAGACATACTCAGCATCGAAGGAAATTGTCATTTGGAAATTTTGGCGTATCGTGATTACGCAGCGTCCGAACAAAATTTGGGTGAATAGATATTTTTTTTTTTTTATAAATATCAAATTATATAGTATAAGTACCGTAACTCTTTTCGAGTCAGGTGCGGATTAAAATGCCATGATCAAGAGGTCCGATCCCAACGGCTACATAACAAAATTAGCTGGAGAGAAACCACCCTCCCCCTCCCTTCTGCCCTCAAAAAAAAAACTTATCCCTACCTATTTTTTTGTTATGATTGATATCTAATGACTCCAACCACCACCGCTCATACATCCTGTCCAATCCGATCAAGTCGGAGAAGAGTGTCTGAACCCGATATATCTGAGTTCGGAAGGATATGAATCAGGTCGGTCTTACATCCGCTCACGTAGCGCACTAAGAAGGTAATATGCGCATTTTGGAATACGATTTCGTGGAAAAGCCTTTAAAAAAAAATTAAAAGACCACCTTAACAATTTTGATATACTCCAATATGGCATATTTTTTTTATACGTGCCCCCCATCATTTAGAATTCGTGAGACACAAAGAAAGGGGAAGTACCAGTCACATTTCTTTGGCGGACATCGATATCGTGAACAACACGGCTGCTGTGGATAATTCGGCCATCGATTGCTTTTATCGTAATGGAACCCAAATTCCGACTAGAGCGGATTCACTGGATAGAGACATCTTGGTGAATGTAAATGGAGGCGACGATATCGACAAAGATGTCGAGATATTCGATACAAAAGATATCGAGGTATCCGATCCTAGAGATATCGAAATATCCGATTCGAGATACGAATTATCCGATCCGAGAGAAGACGATTTCTCCAATCCGAAAAAGGATGTTAGGGTATCCAATCTGGGTATATTCGTGCCATTGAGCAATAGGGATGGAATAAGAATCGGAAACGGTAACAAGTGGCCGCGAACTAATATTTTGGGTAATTATCGTCTCCCTGTTTATAACATTGATGTTAACGGGCAAACATACACTATTCGCGAGAATCACATGGAGAGAGGGAAGACGAAGCGACAGCCATCATAATCCAGCAGTTGATAATGCCCAAATCGATCCGTTTTTCCAGGAATCCCTTCTTTATTGCCAATTGCGAGAAGGGGAGACTGAGAGACATTTTAGCAAATGTTCCTCTAAACTGGCGATATCTTCGACGGTCGTTGTCGATCCTAGCATAAATCCTACCCTCGTATGTAATCGGATCTTGTTAGTGAATCAAAATAACGAAAATACCGTAGTCAAAGTTCGACCTTTTTTAAAAAAATAAATAATATACTTATAATCTATAGATAAAATATCAAGATATAACTTTTCTAAGTTTTCTTAGAAAGAAAGTAAGAAAGTAAGAAAGAAAGAAAGAAAGAAAGAAAGAAAGAAAGAAAGAAAGAAAGAAAGAAAGAAAGAAAGAAAGAAAGAAAGAAAGAAAGAAAGAAAGAAAGAAAGAAAGAAAGAAAGAAAGAAAGAAAGAAAGAAAGAAAGAAAGAAAGAAAGAAAGAAAGAAAGAAAGAAAGAAAGAAATAAAGATTGGACAATTATATCTTGATACATTATTAATTATAAAAAGTTAATTAGATTTGTACCTTAGTAGTTAGATTTTTGACTAACTATTTATTTTAAGTTATCGAAACAATTTTTTAAAATATAACACATACTAAAAGTTAGCTGTTAAAGGATAATCTTTAATACATGGTCGTAAATTTTAATAATGATTCCTAGTGTGAAAGATATATATATATATTACCAAGTTCTTAGTTATAATTGTCAATCTTTGTAAGAAGATAATCGAGGAATAGAGATGTTTTTACATATTAATTATATTTTTTATCTATGACCATATTATTACCTCCAGACTATTATTCCCAAAGATCAAGTGATAATGATAAAATTTAGACAATCTTCCGACAAGAGCCACCACTCCTAGAACATTAATTACTCCGCACTAATGACAGAAAACATTATTTTTTTTAAAAAATGGATAATATTTTAGCTTTTAATCATACGCAATATCATAAATACAAAATATAATTAGATATATTGTAACGTGATTTATAAGGGTAAATAGTTTAAATAAAATGGAGTTAAATATCTTATAAAAATCAAATATTCTATTTTGAATCGAAAAAACCGAATAATAATTTTATCAAATATATTCTTTTTTTAACTTTTTTCTTCGTTTTTTTTTGTTTTCTAATTATTTTCCATTCATTTTTTTTTACTATTTTCTTCTTTTTTTTTCTATTCAATTCCATTTTTTACTTTTCTGATTTATTTTAAGAAATATTTTTACAAATCTTCGGCAAATGAATGGATTGCTAAAACTGAAATAACAATTCTAATAAAATTAAATTTTAGTATAAAAAAAACATATGTGCCAAATGATTGTTGTTCTGCATTTCTAGAAGTTCCTAGAACATAATCTTTTTTCAATCCCAAAATAATAATTCTCTCTGTTCATATGTAAGGATACTTTATATATAATGGTTTGATCAATCTAAAAAATTTGAAAGTTACTAGTGAAGAGTGTATGTTGGATGGTGGATCTAATTCTTCAAGATCTGTCTATCTTCCTCTCCGTTTAATGACGATTTCCAGGTTTACCCCCCCCCCAGGTAAGCCAGTTTTCCCTCTGATTTTCCTCTATTTTTGACGCTGGATTAAAATTTTCCCTTATTTTCCTTGCTTTTTTAGTTATTTCGTGTAGGGTTTTAGTATAAAAAAAATGTGATGACTGGCCATGATTTCGTTTAAAAATTAAACTTAATTCAATTAAATTTAATATCGATGTGTTATATCTAGGGATGTAAATTTCCCGGGAAACTATATTTCGAGGAAATTTCCCGGGAAATTTGGGGAAAAACGGGAGATAACGGGAAAAAACGGGAAACCATCTTTTTTATAATACTTTACAGGTCAATATTGATTTTTTTTTATGTTTTATTGAAAATATATAGATTATAAACATAATTAAACAAATATAAATTATTTTCAACTAATTTGCAATTACTTAAAATGTTTTATTTGAAATATTATATATAGACTAAATAATATTTAAACAATTAATTTTGAATATTTAATTATCTTCGTTTGAAGATGAAAATGATTCCAGATCAGAGCTTGAAATTCTGGAATCCAGTAATTTGTCATTTTCTGAAATTTCCTTTCCCATAAAATGTAGATTGGCTCTTATATAATCTTTGCGAACTTTGTCATTTTTTATTCTATTTCTAGATTTAGAATGAATATTTATAAAATAAATATACTATTTAGACAAGCTATCTATAAGAACAAACATGAACAATTTAAAAACTTTATGTTGTGCTTGTGTGTGATGGATGATGATGAATGTAAATACATTAATTAATACTAAAAATTTTCAACTAAATTTAAAAACTGTGAAATAAATTACTATTAATATTCTCTATTAACATAACTAAAAATTTGATATATTATTTATATATTTCATTGGTATTTATTTATAATATAAATATACTTTTCATACTAGCTATTTAATTTTAACAAGTATCTTCTAAAATTTTGCAAATGTAAATAGGGAAATTGACATAATTCAAAAACAAAACACAATTATAATTTATGATATGACCCACTAGGAAAAAATGATTTTATAAAATCAAATAAAAATCCTATTTATTTTATCATAAGATCATTTTCAAAATTCTGTTAATATTATAAAAATCAAGTTGATTTAGGCAAAAAAAACCTATTATAAAAATTGGGGAAACTAACATCCATATCTCAATCTTTTTTACTATAATAATCTTTGTGAGCTAGATTATCACCTAAAAGTTGTATAAAAAATCTTCGTTTTTGTTTTATACGCGTATATTTACGTGACAAACACTATTCCAAAAAATATATATTGCGATTTGACCGGTTCCCGAACTCAAAACCGGCCGGTTCTAAATATTGGATTGACCAAAATTGCTAGTAACTTCAATTGAAAAGCGTTTGTTTTTGTTTAATATCTCCTAAAATTACGTGTAAAACATTATCACAAAGAAAGTCTCGTGATTTGAACTATAACCAACCCAATGATGACTAAATACTACAATGCTTGAGTTATCCTTGGAAAAATCTTCTTTTTTGTTCCAAATGTGTATATATACGTGATAAGCACTATTCCGAATAATTGTAATATGACCGGTATCCGGACTCAAAACCGGCCGCTTTAAATATTGGATTGACCAAAATTGATAGTAACTTAAGCGTTTGTTTTTGTTTAATATCTCCTAAAATTACGTGTAAAACATTATCACAAAAAAAGTCTCGTGATTTGCCATAACCGACTCAATAATGACTAAATACTAAAGTGCTTGGGCGTTATCCTTGGAAAAGTCTTCATTTTTGTTCTATATTACCTCTATTTACGTGCGAAGCATTATTCCAAAAGAAAAATATTGTGATTTACCGATTGCCGAACTTAAAAACATACCGCTTACTAAATATTCGACTAACCAAAATTTTAATATCAATTGAAATAAATATTCATCTTTGATTTTATTTCTCTATAAATTATAGGTGTAAAATATTAAACGCCACCCAATAACTAAATACTGCATTGCTGGAAGTTATTTATGGAAAAATCTTCATTTTTTTAGGTTTTTATACGCATATATCTATCAAGCATCGTTACAAAACAGATTTTTTCAAATATTGTTATTTGATCGGTTTTCGAACTCAAAACCGGCCGGTTACTAATTAATCGATTGACCAAAATTGTTAATAATCTTGAATAAAAACAAAGTTTATTTTTTTTTGTTTAATATCTCCTAAAATTACGTGTAAAATATTTTTTTTTAGGGATAATTGTAATACACACACATAATTAATGTTGTTAAACACTCAATTTGAGTCGATTTTGAAAAAATGGCCAATTCAATATTTTAGCCAGAAAAAAATATTATAAAAGTCTTAAGATTTTGTTCATCGGTAGCACAAAGGATTGAACATCTATCAACGAAATCTCGTGGCAAAGAAAGAAAGAAAGAAAGAAAGAAAGAAAGAAAGAAAGAAAGAAAGAAAGAAAGAAAGAAAGAAAGAAAGAAAGAAAGAAAGAAAGAAAGAAAAAAGAAAGAAAGAAAGACATTTTTTCTAGCTAAAATATTGAGTTAACGTTTTTAAGAATCGTTTCGAATCAAGTCGTTTAACAAATACTAAGCATAATTATAGCGACATATAACAAAAATATGAACATTTTTTTTTCAAATGGATATCACACCCTAATTATGTATTTTATTTAGTCATCGGGCAGGTGTTGAGCTGGCAATATTTTACACTTAAATATAAGTCTTCTCTTCTTTTCTCTCTCTTCTCTTCTCTTCTCTTCTCTTCTCTTCTCTTCTTCTTCTCTTCTCTTCTCTCTCTTCTCTTCTCTTCTCTTCTCTTCTCTTCTCTTCTCTTCTCTTCTCTTCTCTTCTCTTCTCTTCTCTTCTCCTCTTCTCTTCTCTTCTCTTCTCTTCTCTTCTCTTCTCTTCTCTTCTCTTCTCTTCTCTTCTCTTCTTCTTCTCTTCTCTTATCTTCTCTTCTCTTCTCTAGAACAAAATGAAGATATTTCTATGAATAACCATCGGCTATATGTGTCTTACAAGTTTTGCGGTTATTTTTTCTATTTCCTAAACTTACTCATACATAAATAGTGTTGTTAAAACGGCTAACTCAATATTTTTATTCAGAAAAATATATTACGCAAACCTGAAGATTTTTCCCATAGATGAACAGAAAGGTTTTAGGGCATCATTCAGCGCAATCATGAAGCTTAGGGCAATATTTTTGTGGCTAGAATATTGAATTAGCCGTTTTTAAAAAATCAACAGACCCCAGTAAAGACACTACTCATAAAAGTAAATATCAAAGAATGCTATCATTTATTTAAAAATTTTTTTAAGGTTTTCCAGATGATCTATACCCAAATATATATATAAAAAATAGCGCAAAGCTAACCTATAATTTTTCGGGGATTCATAATATAATATCTTATTTTATATCCATGCATATAACGCCCTCTTTTGGAGATATATTTATTAAATTTTAAAAATTGAAAAATATAAATTTGAGTTGTAATAAGGCATAACATAAAAGATATTTTAAGTGAATGAAAAACCATTAACATCTTCATATGAATATTTTATAACCAAATCAGCTGATGGCTGATTCTCACTAGCAAAACATCAATATATATTTTCTAATTTAAATTACATAAATTTTATAAATAAATTAAAATGATTAACGATGTGAAAAATAAATTACGCAAAAGCTGTTTAATATTTACCAAATTAAACGGTCTTTCTTTTATTCAAAAATTATAAATTAAAATTTTTAAAAACTACTATCTTAAACTAATACTTATTATTCAATTTATTTTTTACACAAAAAACATTTAAAAAATATGTAATAATGGCTCACAAAATCCCACTTACCAAAAAATATATAATAATTATATATAAATTAGTTTAAAAAAATTATTTAAAATAATATAAAAACTATACAATGAGTCTATGAACTAAATAGGAAATAAAGTTGAGAGTTTGGAAGTGATGGATAAACGTAAAAGAGGAAGGCCAAAACTTCAATGGGGCCATAAAGTTAGAGCCAATATAAAAGAAGTATAAATTAGATAAAAGAGATAGCATGAATAACATAAAGTGGAGAGAGAGATATTGAAGAAGTTACCACCAGGAAAGGTGAAAGATAAAGAGAAAAAAATAAATAAAAATTAGAAAAAGATACAAAAATGTTGGTTATTGTAATTAAGTTTTAAATGTAAATACAAAAATATCGGCAATTACAAAATATTTTCTATAACAAATAATGTATAATTCAGGGTGAGAGGGGGGGGGAGAGTTTTGTCACCTGTGTTAAAGGAACTAGTGGTGATAAGGTATCGTTTCAAAGAAACACTTGCAATTCCTTTTTAGGATTTTTATTCGAATTTTTTTGTTTAAGAGTAAGGGACCTGTTTTTATTCCCTGTTCCTTTAACCCTGATTGATTTAAAAATTTTAGCGATTGAGCACTTAAAGATTGGTGTTGTATCTGTTGACATGTAATTGACAGATATAGACGTTTTTCAATTAATTTCGAATAAGAGATGATGATAACATTTTGTATTCTTTATTTTAGATCATACGTTTATTCTTTAGGGAACGTATTTTAGATAACATATTTTTATATATTGATTATTACATGTTTCAATTAGATATGATAAAAAAATAAGAGAATTTAAAAGGGACCTATATTTATTGAATTTTTTAAATTTTTTTTGAAGTTTCAAGAGGTCAGTCAGAGTTTTAATTGTCGGGAAATGAGGTAACCCATGTCTCGTGTTGTTAAACGGCAAACTCAATATTTTATCCAGAGAAAATATTACGCAACCTTAAAATTTTTGCTCATAGGATGGTACAAAGTTTTGCGAGGCTTAGATACTATTTTTCTGGATAAAATATTGAGTTAACCGTTCTTAGGCTAAAATCTATACCTAAAAAGAATTATTTGTTATTCGATTCGGTACGAATACGAATGATGAATTATTCAATAACGAATAACGAATTATTCGATTTAAACGAATACGAATAACAAATTATTCGATTTAAACGGATATGAATAACGAATTATTCGATTTAATCGAATAACGAATTACTAGATTTAAACGAATAACGAATTATTCGATTTAAACGAATTTGAATAGATTCGAATAGTATTTTTGTAGGTATATTAAAATCTAGGGGTACAACAACACTATCCATAACACATCCCACACAAGTCTTTTTGCCGCCGAGCTAACATGTTAAAGACATGCCAAATTTTAGGTGAAATCGCTATTACAAAGATAAAAAATTTAAAATAAATAATATTTTCATTTAATTAAAAGGGGACAAAAAAAAATCATTTATTTTCTTTAGTGTTTTTAAATGGCTTGTTTTTAAGCCGATTTTTATAAACGGCTAACTCAATATTTTATCCAGAAAAATAGTGCGCAAGCCTCAATTATTTTGTTTCATAAAAGGAACAACTAGAACATATCGTCGGTGTAGAATTGTGTAGTGCTCCTCTTCCGCAAATATATAAAATGGGAAAAATCAACATTTGATTTTAAAATAAAATATAGGAAAAAGATATTGATCAATTTTGACAGCTAACTTTGGGCAAAAATTTGATATTTTTATTAAAAATCTAGTTTTTATTTTTTATAATATATTGGGAAATAATAAAGTTAAATTTATTTTTAATCATTTTATGAATTTTAATCCAGAATAATATAAAATTATATTTACACTGTAATAGATGAATAATTCGTTTAATATCCATTATATATATTGCAACACTAAAATATGATTTTTTTTTTAAAGTTAATTTATTTATATTTTATTTACAAATTTAAAGCTGCTATATTTTCAACAACAAAACACTCTAAACTGAGATTTAGCTTATAGGCTAAAAAAAAAACAACTGTTTATCTAGTTAAAAATCAGTTAAGGCTCTTTCTTTCTTTCTTTCTTTCTTTCTTTCTTTCTTTCTTTCTTTCTTTCTTTCTTTCTTTCTTTCTTTCTTTCTTTCTTACAATATAATTTAAAAATTGCTATTACGTAACTGACTTGACGTCATTTATTATCATTTATGAAAAATAAAATTCAGCCAAATAAAGATAATATAAAATTGAAAAAAAAAATTCGAGAATTTTCTTCTTTTAAGATTATATTACGTTTTTAAAAATTTTAAGAAATCATTTATTTACTTAGAACATTTTAACAAGAGTTGCCAAAATTTTGAGTCAGTTGGTTATATTTAGGAAATTTTTTTTATTTACATGTTTTTTTAGTTATTTCTATATAATAGTAATAATAAGAAATAAGATATTAGATAATATTTAACTTGAATCACTAAAGCAAACATTACCCCCCTTACAAATCATAAAATTTGGATATTAGTTTATTTTTTATTTTTTAAATTTCTCTCTCAAAAAATAAAAAAATTAATATGCTTAAATTATTCTTATCATTATCATTGCTAGCATTATACTCAGCCCAGTTTTATGGATTTCGTGGCGGCAATCACCGTTTTGGCGGTAATTATTTGTTAATTAAATAATATGAATTTTATCAGAATTTTCTAATAGAAATGAATCGAATAATAATAATGTTTAAACAGGCTATCCTAGGGGACATCAAGGGCTCCCCAGTCATGACTCACTCCAAAAATGTCAAATAACTGTAATCAAAGATGGAAGCGATATAGACCTTACTGATAAATGGACAACTTACAGAATCGGTAAATTTTCTCAATATTTTACGTTTATATACATCAGTGATCTGCGTCTAAGGTAATTTTTCAAACCAAAAAAGCCCGACTCGGCCTGAATTTATTTGAATATAGAAATTAATTTTTTATAATTATACTCAAAATAAAAGATATGTTTATGAGGTATCTAGTTTCTATAAATAAATAATTTTTTTATTTTACATTAAAAAAAAAAATCAATATTAAATTTAAGATATATTTTAAAAAATAATTTCTAGGGCCGACCCGCTCAGGCCCAATTTTTTTTAAAGATATTAGGCCCAAACCCGGACCGAAGCCCGTTCGAGTCGGGTATGGGCCGGGCCTACTTTTGTAGATAACATATATACGATTTATATTTTATTATGTAAAAATTGAAGATACCAGCGGAGATGTACTTAGAATCACTGGAGATTGCAATTTAGAAATTTTGGCATATCGCGATTATACGGATTTCGCACAAAATTTAGGTGAAAATTTTTATATTTTGTCGAATTATTCGATATTCAAAACAAATATTATTTTTTTTTTTAGATTAAGATAAATAATTTTTTGTTTTTAATTATACATATAAACATTTTGTATATTTTTAAGAGCCGTGTTATGCAATATTAAATCGGCCCAAATTGACCCTGTGAATAATTTTCAAAATCCATCGAGCCCCGCCAGTAAGTTGCTAGGTCCCTCCCTGCTCATATCGATTTATTTTGTGAATAGGAATTGATAAATTTGCATTTTAGCGCAAATTGTCCAGCCCGAAAAGATATTTCGCACCAGCTGATTGTCCCGAAATTTATGAACTGACTAATTAAACCGGAATTAAGTTATTATTTATCCAACCCGAACCGAACATGAACCGTAAAACCTTTTAAGTTATCCTAACCCGTTTTAAAAATTATTATCGATCAGTTTATAGGTCGCCATTTTTATAATAAATATTATGTGTATTTATAGTTAATAGAATACTATTTACAATCTATTAGTTATCATATTTGAAAATTGTGTAAATATAGCAAAATAAACCTTTGCCTGCAATTATGTATGGGCTATGATCATGGAATTTTTAAAGAAATAGAGTTCTCTTTATTAATATTCGAAGGTATCGATAAAATGGCACAAACCAAAACCGATATGGATGTTTTATAGGAACCGAACTGATATTAACTATACGGTTAGGATCATTGCAATTAATATAATTCTTACTTCACCGTAATTTAAACTTTGATATCAAATAGTTAAGTACACGCCAAAACATTACGAAAAAATAGTTTTTGTATACTTATATTTTTTTCAGAATTCGCGAGAAATGAAGCAGGCGGAAGATCAAGCGAAATTTCGCTGGCTGACATTGATACGGTCAACAGGACCGCGGCTGTAAATAATTCGGCCATTTGTTGCATTTATCTGAATAATAGAACCCGAGTTCCCACTGGAACGGGATCCTCGGACGGAGTTGACAGAGGGGTAAATGTAGATAACGATGCGACGGACGACGATATTGGTAGAGAGGTCGAGGAATTCGATCCTGATTTAGTTAATCGGCAGCCAATTAACCCAGATCGGTTAATGGTCGGGGGATACGAGTTACCGCGCATGGGTCACAATCGGGGGCCTCTATATAACAATGGTGGAGAATATCGTAGTGGCCCTAGACCAGGTGGTGACCGAAGGCGAGAGCGTGACGGAAGGCGAGGAGGGGATGGAAGGCGAGGGGGTGACGGAAGACGAGATGATGACGGAAGGCGAGGTGATGACGGAAGGCGAGGAGGTGACGGGCCAAATTACGGATTTCATAATCGAAGAGGGGCTGATAACAATGATCAAATCAATTCGGATTCCGAAGAAACCTTTTTTTGCCAATTGAGATCTGCCGATATAGGACGCCCACACCGATATTCCTCTAAAGTGGCCATATTTTCGACGGAAGTGGTTGATCCGAACGTCAATAATTCTAACGTCGGGTCCAATCGAATCGAGTTAGGGAATCGAAATAACGATAATATCGTAGTCAAGGTTAGACATTTTTTTCTAAAAAAAAACAAGCGAAATACCGGAAGTATTAATAGAATAAAATGCAGCTATCCTAACTTTTTTTATTAGTTTAACTCATTGCTCACCAAAATTTAAATTTAGCTTTGATGGAAAAGTAGACTTAAAGAAGAAAAAAAACAAACACAGTAGTAAGATTCTTAGATTATGACTTAGTTTTTATTGGATTTTTTAAATTAGAAAAAAAAAAAAAACTTTTTAAGGGTGCGTCCCATAGTCAAAAATTTTTTTTAAACGAACACACTAGCCAATAATAGTTATATACTTCAACAATAGCATTGTTAAAAGGGTCGTTTTTGAGCCGATCTTTAACGAACGGCTAACTCTATATTTTTAGCGAGAACAGTATTGCTCCAACCTTTAAGATTTTGCTAATCTAGAATCTTCGTTCCAATCTAATAGCAAAATCTTAAGGCTTCCATAATATTTTCTCTGAATAAAACAATGAGTTAGCCGAGCCGTTTAACAACACTAATTCGGACACACTATATAATTTAAAAGGAACCAAGGATAGACGTACTTCAAAATAGTATAGTTTATTTTTAGCCACAACAGTATTGCTCCAAGCCTAGAGATTTCGCTAATAGGCTATCTAGAATCTTTGTGCCAATCTAAGAGCAAACTCTACCAGGCTTGCGCAATACGATAATATCGTGGATAAGATATAGACTTACTTCAAATCGAGTCGTATAAATCAAGTCTGAGAAGTATCGAGTTATCAGTTATGAATATCCAAATCGTTTTTATATTTAATTGATTAGGAAATGTATTTATTATATACGATTCTATTTTAATCATTCACATGCTAATCTTCCAGGCTAGCACTCCCGGGGATCAAGTAATAACGATGAAATTGAGACAAATCTCTGACCAGGGACGCCACCATGGTTACGGCCATGGACGTGGTCATAGACGCCGCCATGGAGGCCACGGATTTGGCCATGGAGGCGGCTATAGATATTAGTTTACCTAGGAACTCAAACACTAAACGACTTGCTTAAGGAAATCATATATTTTTTTTTATCTTTACTTTGAATCATACCAATCATATACATTGTTTATACATGTGAACCGGGTACTCTTAAGCACCTCTCTCGTTTTTTTTTAAATCAAATTTTTATTTTAAAAGAATATTTAATTTGTTTTTCTTTAAAGAATATTCTTCGATTCTTAAAGATTAAAAAAATATGCTAAAAATTTGACTAAATAATTTAGAGTTTATTAAATTATCTAACTTTGATCATCTCTATTGCGTCTTAGTCAACCTTTTATATTGAAAAATTGAATTAAGCTTCTAAGTAAAATCTCAACTTGAAGATTTATCCAGAATATTTCTGAATTACAGTATGGCTACGCTGCTTTATAGTCGACTAAAGATAAATAGTTTAACAACACTAAAATAATTACCCAAACACAAGACATTACAATTTTTGTTTTCGTGATAGATGGTTTTCATTTATGATAGACTATAACTAGACGCTAACCTTCTTTTTTTTTCAAAATATGTGTCCTAAATTATAAATTACGATGACGCAAAACGCAATTTAAAAAAAAAGGTTTAAATTGAAATATCGTATCAGTCCTCTTTTGTCCTTGCATTCTTCCGCCACTGATCAAATGGCAACTTCATTTTTATTTTCTTGAGAAATTAGGGGCTATGTTTCGCGAATTTTTCTATCATAGAAATTAATTGAAAGTTTTTATCTTGGGTTTATTTTAGTCAATATTTAGCATTACTAAGAGTAACGATTAGATCTAATTCTGAAAAAAAAACAATTTGTATAAATATAAAAATTGTATTTTTGTTTGTTTTTTTAAAAAAAAACGAGTCACGTGTTTAAGAGGTCGGTTTTTTTTAAATATAAACACGACGTAATTAATAAAGGGTAAATATATGTAGATTATAAAAATTGGGGTTAAATAATAAAATTATAATTTATAGGTTATCAGAAGTTTAATAAATATGAAAATTTGCCAAAATATTGATATTATTTATTTAAAATTAATGTAAATAATTATAGACCTTGTAATTATTTTAATTTTCAATGTATTCTTTTCGTATATATTTCATTTTTTGTCTTTACCTTTTCCATTTTTTCTTTCTTTATATTTTGTTCCATTCTTTCCTAGATGATATACTTATTCAAGTAGAGATGAGATGCTATTTTCGGGCCACTCACTATTTACCATATTTCGGAAACAAATTTAGCAAGGGAGTTTGGATTTTGATATGCTCATTATTAGCTATTAGTTAACCTATTAAATAAAGATCCCCTATATTGATTGACCAGCACCATCGTGCTTCAATAGTGCTCTGGCAGATCTTAAAAGCTAAATTACTAAATAATAAGCTCAGAGGCGTCGCTAGCCTTTACAATCTCAGGGGGGGCTCAAATAGAAAAAAATTTAAGGTGGACTTAACCCCCATACCCCCTAATCTGCGGGCCTTCTGTCCACTTATGCCCGGCCTTCGGCAGGATTTTATAGCAATATATTATACTCTTTTAAAATTTGCTAACTTCTGAACAATTATCCTGAATTTCAGATTTTGTAATTCATTATATTATGCATACAAAATAAGCTAGCTTATAAATTATTAAAAACAAAACAAAGATATTTTTAAAAAATAATATTTTTTTAATACAAAAGCTATTTATTACAGTATAAAATATTTTCGATTGCTGATATAAAAAAAAATTTTGCGTCTAAAGAATTACAAATGTTAATAAAAAAGGTTAATTTATATATGTCTTAGGCAATATATTCCTTAGCAACTTACATTGACAAAAAGTCATGAAACTAATATAACTCTCTGTTACCATTTTAGACAATGTTATATAGAATGGACTAATAAGGAAAAATTTATAGGCCTAACCAAATCAATAATTCTGGAAGAAGAGAATATAAACGACCAATCCAAAAAACTATGTGGTGGTTAAAGCTTCTTCTTAGATGACATGATAGAAGCTAGATAAGTAATCGAGAAAATTATTGTGAGATATTAAATTTCTAAAAATTATCTTCTATTTTTAATGATATATAAATGTCTACACAATTGACCATTATTGCTTATAAATATGCAATCATATGCTCTCAGCAGCTGTAATAATACTCTTAACTTACATAGCTAAACATATAATAGATGATGATTAATTTACAGTCAAAGCCATGATACTCACGATGTTACCTCATAGCAGAATTTATTATTTTAGATAAATTTATAAAACATAAACACTAAAAATCTTTAAAGAAATTAGGCAAATATATTAAAGCCTTGAGTTATTTAGAGAGCAAGGATGCCATAAAATGCCATTGAAATGAAGTTTTTTTTAACTATAAATAAGAACCAGAGTGATATGATGAAAGCAATTAAGATTTTATAACTACCTCTTGTTGGTATATAATATCTTAAAATAATAGTAGTTTGTAATAATATCAAAAATACTCATATTAAAAAATTTAACTCAAAAATGTTTTTTGAAAGTATGGTAAACCCACAATTACATAATATTTTGAAAATATAGTATACAAAGAATTTTTAATAACTTTATGTACCAAATGAATCACTTTGAAAGTATAGCAAAACAACAATTTTTATTATCTTTATTAAACAAAAATAATTTTTCCAAAAAACTTTTTTATAACTTAAAAAGAATGAAATAATCATTAATTCATAAAACAATAATTTTTTCTTTTTAAATTTCAAAACTTTAATAATGAAGAAATCCAAAATATATCTCGAAAAAATATAGATTATAATAATTATTAATTTTTTTCTTTACGTATAATAATCATAAATTTTTCCCCCAATCAGATGTATACAATCCATCTGATTGACGTTTAACAAAATTAAATGGGATTACACGCTATTAATGGAACATACTAAGACAGTTTTTCAAATAAGAAAAGATATCTTCCCTATAAACCCTTTAAAACAGAGAAGAAAAGATATCTAATTTATTACATCCACTGTGGGATGTATAATAAAATTAATTTTTTAATAAAATTGTAATAAATAGATGGCGTTAAAAGAATTGAATTCAAATTGTAAATTTATATTTATTGTCAAAAGCATTTATTAGTAAAATAATTAAAATATCTGAAGAATATGAATAGCCCCTTGTTAAAAATAAATTTTTTTGATCACCCCCTGAACGATTATATAAATAAGAAAACTTTAGCTTAAATAAATGTTCATTTATTTAATCATGTATTTTATTTTTATTATTTAAAGTATATGTCACATTGGGACACGGAATCATGTGGGATTCTGAATCCCACAGTTGGGATTCGAGATCTTGAATCCTCACGTTTTATTCGATATTTTTTTTTCTTCCTTTTTTGTTGTCGTCTGGCTGCCACAATTTCACAAAAACAATCTATTTTCTATATGAGTTATAAATAAAATAATTGTAAAATTATCAAAAAAGAAATAATTAAACGAGGCCAAAATAAGGAAAAAACAATATTTCCATTAATTATGTACAAATTTAAGATACTATTAGCCAGCATAGGTTTATTTATTTGTGAATCAAAAGAGTCAGATGGCAACGGTAAAAATTATTAACTATAATGACGATAGATTTAACGATTATTAAGCCTTTTCACGCAGTGTGCCATAAAATAATAAAAATTAATAAATTTATGCTGGGTCAGGCTGGAAAAAATATTAACAAGGTTTTCTAAAAGATTAGGGCTGAGTCGAGGGCGGTCTTTTTTTATTTAAAAGATAACTTAAAGCGTAATAGATAGCCATTTTTCTTGAAAATTAAGTAAATGTAAGATTATATTTTTAACGAGTAGGGAAAAGAGGGGATATTAAATAAAAATATCTATATATATATTCACAGATAACCCGTCACTTTTTTTTATTGTTTACCAGTGAGGAAAATTATGTGAACGCTATATGCTATCATATGAGCCTTTCATCAGCGGAAAACTCTGAGATTTTCTTGATATCCTCTCGTGCTTCAAGTTTAATCAACAGTGTAGACTCAACCGGCAAAATAAAATAAATCTTTCCTTTAATTGAAATAAAAATGTATCAATAAGAGGAATAAAAAAACGTTTATTTTATAAAAAATCCTCAATAGTAGTTGCTTCAATATTTGAGCAATTTCCAGGTTTAAAATTTTCAATCCCAAACATATTAGCAATCTCTCACATTTACTTTCTCATGTGTTTCATGAAATTTATCATCCATATTCTCTCCGATATTTGTTAATATTTCAAAAATATCCTTTGCTCTATTCATAACCTCTCTTTAAAATCCAAATCAATTTTTTGTAGCATGTTTTTGCTAAATCATGTGTATAACTAAAAATTTTTTAAAAAAACACATTGAATTTGATATTAAAAAATGTGGCTTAATAATTAGCCTGCAAAAGATTCTGAGCATCTACTGAATCTTTTTCCTTGCTTGATATATAGAAAATTCCAGTGCTGCAAAATACAACATCATATAATATATTTAAATAAATCAAATACTGTGATTCAATTATTATTTATTAGCTAATAATCCGTCAATAATGACCGGGGGTTGAGGGGTAATTAGTTTGTGTATATGGTACTAGATATATATACTTTATTAATATATTTTATAAAAAAATATTAAAATTTAGGGTTCAAAAAAAGGTGAATTTGTAAATCACACCTAATAAGATATTCTTTAATTCTAAATATGATGGCCCGTCTAACTTGATGGGCAAAATGAAAAAATATATAACTAAGAGTACCAGAGCTCCAGTTTGTCAGCATTTCTGAACCCGTCAAAAAATGATGGGAATGAGAATTTTATCCTTACTCTTATGATAAGATGTCACCTTTTATTTGAAAATAATATCCAATTTGTATTCTTTATCACCCCCTGCCCCCTCTTCAGACCAGGTCCAATTAGTGTTGTTAATTGGTTGGTTGTTTAAAACCCAAACCTGGGGTATGGGTCTAAAAAATCGACCTCAGAGCACGAAACCGGGTATGAACCCTGAGTCAGAACCCCGGGTCGGCCTGAGCACATAAAAGGGGTCGTAAATTTTACGACCAAGCAAATTAACAACACTAGGTCCAATCCATTAAAACTAATTGTAAATGCTATGCTTTGAGTCAAAACATATGTTAAAACTTTAACTTGATACCATATCAATATTATTTTGTTAAAACATTACTGATCATCTATGATGCCTAATATATAATATCAAAAAATCTCCCAATTAAGGTCCCAAGGTCTTAATAATTTTGAAAAATATTTCCCACTGGAATAAAATATGGGCCTTGATTTTTGGATCAGGCCGAGCCCAGGCCTTCAATAGGCCAATAACTGTTCCATAGTTAATCATAAAAAAAACTCTCAAGCGTCCAAGCTGATAATAATTTGGGAAAATTTTTCGCCAAAGCCAGCCCAACATAATTTAAAAAATACCAAGCCCAGCCCGACTCATTATAACATTTTAAAAAAAAATTTTTTTAAAACCTGGCCACGATAATAATTTTGAATTTTTTTTTCCCAAACCTGGAGTTTCCAAATAAAAGCAATAAAATAAATATTGATATAATTAAATTTACTTTTATCAAAATATAGTTTCAATATATAAGAAGAATTGTATTACAAAATTTAAGATAGAAGGGGGCTGAGTTGGAAAGAACGTTTGCTTATGGAATGTTAAGTCTGGCGATCGAATCTCGACATTAGAGGTTATATAGTCTCCTTCGATTTATTTAACATTAAGATGATAGGAAAGTTGATAGGAAAGTTGATACAAAAAATAATAAAAATTACAATTAAGATTATACGAAAACGTTCATTTCTTCATTTACGGCTATTATATATATAAGAAGATTAGATAATAAATTAAAATCATTTAAAATAGTTGTTTTTTTTTAAAAATTTCAAAAGCATTTTTAAAATAAAAATGTAAAATTTTAGAAAGAGAAAAAAAAATTTCACGGTGAATGTGGGGAGGGCATGCCTACTCCACCGAATT